ATAGGGATGGCCAGTTAGCTCACTTCAGAGAGTGTAGTGCTAATAACACCAAGTCAAGGGTTAAGATCCCCTTACCGGTCATCTTTTAAATAAATGAATGAATGAATCAATCAATCAATCAAACAAACATCTGATTGTTAGATTCCCTAGTTATGAAGAAGTTGATTATGATAGCTTTTGACAGATTAATTGTTGCTTCAGTGGAGAGACAGATCCTTGGAGACTCTCCACCATTTTAGTGATGTCTATCTCTGTTGTTGAGTTTTTAACTGTGCTTTTTTTTTTGTCTTTTGTCTTTTTTCCGTGTCCGGCAACGGATCGCAACCCTCAGTGTTGCCCCCGTACCGGACCGGGGACCGGCAACGGGATCGCAAGCCTCGGTGTTGCTCCCGCGCCTCGCTCAGCCAGTGAGCGGGAGCCGGTCTGTATGTGGGATCCGAACCCTCGGGCGGGAGCGCCGCCACGCTTCCCAAGCGGCGCACTATCCAGTGCGCCACCGGGCCGGCCCTAACTGTGCTTTTTAATCTTAGTTTCTTAGTGGTTGCTCTGGGGGTTGCAGTATGTGTCTTTAGCTTATCACAATGTACATCAGATTAATAAGACTGACTTAATTCTTTATGGCAGTTTTTCTTTGACATTTCTCCATTTCTCCCTCCTCCTTTGTGCTTTACTGTCATACATGTTACATCCGTGTATGTTATAAAGTCAACTGTTCAATTTTGTAATTAATGCTTCAAACATATTTCTTAAAGTAAAAAAGAAGAGACACACACACACATGCGTCTTTTGTATCACCCATGTGTTTGCTGTGGCTGGTGTTTGCTCTTCTCCCCTGTGCACTCGAGGCACTGTCTGGTGGGATCCATCTCCTTTGAGGGGCTTCCTGCACAGCTTCTTATGGGGCAGGGCTGGGGCAGCAAGTCCAGTGTGTGCTTGTCTTGGAATGTCTTCATTTCATCTTCATATCTGAAGGATAGTTTTATTGATATAGAATTCTTGATTGACAGTTGTTTTTTTTTTTTCAGCAATTCAAAATGTCACCACACTGCCTTCTGGGCTCCTTTGTTTCCCTTGAGAAATCGTGTGTCAATCAAATTGTCATTCCTTTGTCTTTTTTTTTTTTTTTTAAACTGACCGGCAACGGGGTCGCAACCCTCGGTGTTGCACCCGCACCGTGCTCAGCCAGTGAGCGGGAACCGGTCTCCACATGGGATCCGAACCCTCGGCCGGAGCGCCGCTGCACTCCCAAGCGGCGCACTCTCCAGTGCCCCACCGGGCTGGCCCAAATTGTCATTCCTTTGTCTTTTTTTTTTTTTTAAACTGACCGGCAACGGGGTCGCAACCCTCGGTGTTGCACCCGCACCGTGCTCAGCCAGTGAGCGGGAACCGGTCTCCACATGGGATCCGAACCCTCGGCCGGAGCGCCGCTGCACTCCCAAGCGGCGCACTCTCCAGTGCACCACCGGGCTGGCCCAAATTGTCATTCCTTTGAAATAAAGTTTTTTTTTTTTTTTTCTTGCTGATTTCAAAATGTTCTCTTTGTCTTTGGCCTTTAGTAGTTTGTGATGTATCTCCCTGTGGATCTCTTTGCATGTATCCTGTTTGGGCTTCAGTAAGCTTCTTGGATCTGTAGATTAATGTTTTGTTTTACCAAATTTGGAGTTTTCACCCATTATTTGATCAAAATTTTTTTCTGTTTCTCTCTCATCTCCTTTTGGGTCTCCCACTGCATTATTGGTGTGCTTGATGTTGTCATGTAGGTCTCTGAGGCTCTTCTTCCCCCACCCCCCCAGTCTTTTTTCTCTTTATTCTTCAGATTAGGTAATTCCTGTTGATTTTTTTCCTCCATCATCTCAAATCTGCTGAGTTCATGTAGTGATTTTTAAAAAAAAAAAAACATACACTTTATTTTAGAGCAGTTTTTGGTTCTCGGCAAAATTAAGTGGAAGGTACAGAGATTTTCCGTATACCCCTGGCCTTACACATGCACAGCCAACCCCCCAATGCTATCACTGTTTTGCACTGGAGGGCACATTTGTTACAATTGATGAACCTACATTGACACGTCATTGTCACCCAGAGTCCATAGCTGACTTTAGAGTTCGCTGTTGGTGTCATGTATGGGATGGGTTTTGATGAGCGTATGAGGACATGTATCCTCTATCGCAGTACCATGCAGAGCACCTTCACCTCCTAAAACTCCTCTGTGCTCCACCTGCTCATCTCCCCCTCCCTCTTACATCTAGTGAATTTCCTTTCACTGATGGCACTTTTCAACTCTGGAATTTCCAGTTGATTCCTTTTATATAATTTCCACCTCTTTTTAAGATTTCCTGTTTCTCAAGCCATTATTGTATTTTTGTGTAATTCTTTGAACACACTTATAGTAGTTGCTTTGAAGTCTTTACTAAATTCAACATCTGGCCCATTCAGAGTTAGATTCTATCAGCTGCTTTTCTCCATAAATGTGGATCACACTTTATCCTGTTTGTTTGCCTGTCTTATAATACTTGTTGAAAACTAGACGTTTCAGATGATATATTGTATATCTGGATTCTGAATTGTTTTCTTCTGTTTTTTTGTTTTATTTTAACTAAGTTTTCTGGACTTAAACTGCAAAATCTTTCTCCCCCCACAGTGTGCAGCTTCTGTTATCTCTGCTCAGATTTTTAAATTCATTTTTATTTTTTAGCCTGGCTTCCTCATGGTTGCTTCTGTGTCTGCATAGCTTAGTGGTCAGCCAGTGATTTAGGCTAAGGACGTGCTCAAATACTTCTAGCCGAGAAGGCCCTCCCCACCATTGGCCAGTTGAGCTGAATGACTTAGAGAGCACATTCCAAGCCCAGCAGTCCCACTCTCTGCCTTCACTTTCCCTTGTAATCTCTTGGAGCTCTGAACACATGCATCAGTTTCCTATGGAGCCAGAGATGGGAGTGAGCTGAGCCCTTCCATGGCTCACTCATTCTCCAGGCGTCCCTATTAAATATCTGCTGTCCCATGCTTACCCACCCCACTGGGATCTAACCTGAGATGATCAGAGTTGTCAGTTTTCTCCATCAGTTTTTATGTAGTTCACCACTTTTAGCTACAAGGCTCTGGGTTTTGCCCTCTACCCTAGTCCACCCTCTCTGCTGCTGGTTTTTACAGCAGCCTTGAGCTAGGAAAGCTCTCGTGCTCCCTGACCAGGGGTGGGGCAGGGCATCTCCTAGTGAGAAGGCTATAGACTTCCCACTGTTCTGGTCCAAAGCTGAGCAGTTGTCAAGAATAACTCTTCTCAAGTGTGTTGTCTGCTTTGGTCAGTTTCCAGAACTCTGAATTGGCAAGTTTTGACAGTTCTGTCCAGTTTTAGAGTTGTTTTCCTGTGGGGATGATTCAACCACCTCTACCTAGCCAGAGCTAGATTAGAACTCAGAACCTTCTTTATAGTTCTGAATTGCCATTTTCAGGTTTAAGTCTTCACATTCTGGAATGTATTTCTGTAAATGTAGGCCATTGAGTTGGGGTGTTTATATGAAAGCCCCCTTTTTTCTTACAAAGCCTGCAGTTCCTCCCCCGGCTCACCTGCGAGGCTTCCTCTGTCGTTTGTGCGGGGAGCTCTTCCTACCTGCTCTCCTTTTTTCCGTGGGTCGGTGTGCCCATTCTCTTAGTTTTACATTCATTTTATGGATATGCCATTAATTTAACTACTCTCCATGATTGGAAACTTATGTTATCAAGTTTCTCATATTTTGTTAACATCCTGTGGCTAAATCTTGGCCTATGTTATTACTTCTTCAAGATCACGTCCTAGAAGCACTTGCTTCTGTTACGGTTTCAGATGTTGAAGATTCCTCCAGAAAGGTTTGATTATTTGATGCGCCGTGTGTGTTGCAGGGGTGTTTAATTGAATTCACATGTGGGTTTGGGCCTCCCCTTTTGGAACACATTCTTTTCATCCTCAATAGAATGGAACTGTCCAGCCACAGTCTCCGCTGCAGTGCACTTGGGGCACTGGCAGTCACTGGCAGCACCTGTGTGCCTTCTGGAACCCTGGCCTGGGGAGGCTCCTGAGGCCGTCTTTGCCTGCCAAGGGAGATTACCAAAACTCCTGCCTAGGAGAAAAGCCCCGGCTCCATGTCGTGGAGTGAATGCCAGTCCTCAGTCGTTCTTGTGGTTTAAAACCATTTCCTTTTTAAAATGATGGCACAGGAGCAGTAGGGGTGGTTAGTCTCTTCATGTCTTTATTTGGCAAAGTTAAAGGTCGCAGTCCGACGTCTATCCCCACATTTCCTCTTCATTCTCTCTCTCTGTCTCAGTTTTGGTTTTAATTTTACTGGTTCACTGATATCTGAAAGTCAAGGCACCACTGTTACGGCTGTGCTCTCCTAGTTGGTGTGGGGAGGACTGTCCTGTGAGCACACACACACCCCAGCACATCTGCCTTTATTGCCTGTTGTGTCTGGGGCTTGGTGTCTGGTGGAGAAGTGGTGGGGAGCTGTGATTACAAGGTCGCCTGCCATGTTGTTACTGCAGCCCAGAAAGTAGTGAGCAACAGGAGACGTCTTCTCATAGTAACCAAGCCCATCCTGAGAGAGAATAAGTGTGTGTGTGTGTGTGTGTGTGTGTGTGTGGTGTGTATGCATGTATGTGTGCATGTTTGTGTGTGTGGTGTGTGTGCATGTGCCATATGTGTGTGTGCATATGTGTTTAGTGTCTATGTGAGTATGTGTGTGTCAGAATATGTGTGTATCGTGTGTATGCATGTATGTGTGCATGTTTGTGTGTGTGGTGTGTGTGCATATGTGTTTAGTGTCTATGTGAGTATGTGTGTGTCAGAATATGTGTGTATCTGTTGTGAGAGAGAGAGAAAGAGACAGTGTGTATGTGTACATGCTTGTGTGTGTCCATTTCCCTGCTGTTCTTTCAGGGCAGTGCCTGGGCAGGTGGGCTCAGTGCTCCTGGGTTTACTTGCCCCTGGTGGGCCATGTCTGAGCCTCTGTCCCCTGTGGCCCTCTCTGCAGGTTCTCCCATGGGCAGGTGGTCTCTGTGGATGAGCTACGCCCCTTCCAAGACCCAGACCTGAGCTCCCTGCAGGCTGGTTCTGCATGTCTGGCCAAGCATCAGGATGGCCTCTGGCACCCAGCGCGGATCACTGGTGAGGCTGGCCGTGGAGGCCTCCCTGGTGGATTTTACTGAACCACAGGGCCCTTCCTGACTGGTGGCACCTCCCCATCCAGGCTGCTGACCTGAAGCCCGTCTCTGTCCTCCCCTCCCAGATGTGGACAGCGGCTACTACACAGTCAAGTTTGACTCACTGCTGCTGAAGGAGGCCGTGGTAGAGGGGGACAGCATCCTGCCACCCCTGCGTACAGAGGCTGCAGAGTCCTCCGACTCAGACAGTAGTGATACGGGTGATGCCAGCTATGCCCGAGGTACGGCAGCAGTTCACAGGAAGTCGGGGCAGTCACTGTCAGGCTCCCAACTGGCCAGACGGTGGAGAGCAAATGACTGCAGCAAGGTGGCTGTGCCCAGGGGGAAGGGGGTGACGAGACAGCCTGTGCAGGGCCTGGGGTAGGTCCAAGACCCAGAGAAGCAGGGACCTGGCCTTTGTTTTCAAGGAGTATGTGCACAACAGTGACAGTCTCACTGATGTGAGGCCATGGCTGTCCATGGTGGGGAGGAGCCACTGATGTCACAGCTGCCCGGGAAGTCACAGGAAGTATCCAGCTGACTGGGTGTGGCATGCAGAAAGGGGCCGCTCCTTCAAATGGCCTCTCAGACTTGGGGTCTGGGTGCCTTGGTGGATAGGGGTGGAAGGGATTCTGGCAGCAGAGAGTGTGTCCAGACAGCCAGGGCAGAAGTTTTAGGAAGGGGAACTGGGGGCAGTGGTCAGCTCTTCAGAGGGTCTGTCAGGATGAAGATGGAGAGGTATCCCTAGGGATCTGTTGCGCGAGTTGGTGGTTTCTGAAGCCCCGTGTCCATGGTGATGGGGGGGATGAGCCAAGGGAGTAAAGTTGGCAATACAGCCTGATGAAAATGGAGAGGAGAGAGGCAGGGGCTGTGGAGAAGGGGCCATGCAGTGGCCAGGTCGCCACCCCGAGGTGTGAGAGGGCTGGAGCCGACTGCCCATTGCCATGTGCCCACAATAGACCTGGGCGGCCAGGAGAGAACCCAGGGTGTGGGGAGTTGGGGCCCTGCCCAGGAGCTGAGCGCAGGGCGCTGCATGGAGTCCTCTGGTCTGGCCAAGTCACTGTCCTCTCTCTCTCGCAGTGGTGGAATCAGGCACTGTGGACACCAATACCTGCAGCTCTGCCTTTGCTGGCTGGGAGGTTCACACTCGGGGCATCGGCTCCAGACTCCTCGCCAAGATGGGCTATGAGTTTGGCAAGGGTGAGTGCATGTGCCCAGAGAGGAGAGGGGCCATCCAGCAGCAGCAGTGCCAACCCTGTGTGTTCCGTAGGTCTGGGCCGGCATGCAGAAGGCCGAGTGGAGCCCATTCATGCCGTGGTGCTGCCACGAGGAAAGTCACTGGACCAGTGCGCGGAGATTCTGCAGAAGAGAGCCAGGAGCAGCAAGGCTGGCGCCAGCAGGACCCCAAAGTGCTTGGGAAAAGGGCACAGGCCTGGGGGCCGCCCACCCTCTAAAAACGTGTTTGACTTCCTGAATGAGAAGCTGCAAGGCCAGGCTCCTGGGGCCCTGGAGGCTGGGGTGGCCGCCCCAGGGAGGAGGGGCAAGGACATGTACCATGCCAGCAAGAGTGCCAAGCGGGCCCTGAGCCTGCAGCTCCTTCAGACCGGGCAGAAAATCGAGCAGACCCAGCGGGACATCCGCAACATCCAGGAGGCCCTTGCCCGCAACGCCGGCCGGTAAGTGTGGGGCCTAACTCAGGACATAGGGTGGCCTGGGGTGACCATGCCCACAGGGCGCATGCGGGAGGTCACCTGACCCGAGAGTGGTGGGCTAAGTCTAAGGAGGATCTAGACGTTGGAGGATGGGCAGTGGCCACAGCAGCCTGGGGGCTTGGTGGCAGTGGCCCAGAAGCCCACACTGACTGGCAGACCCCTCCCTAGGCACAGTGTGGCAGCAGCTCAGCTGGAGGAGAAGCTGGCGGGAGCCCAGCGGCAGCTGGGGCAGCTCCAGGCTCAGGAGGCAGGCCTGCAGCAGGAGCAAAGGAAGGCGGACACTCACAAGAAGATGACTGAATTCTAGAGTCCCCATGCACACCATGGATGGGGCCCTGGGACCCCAGCTGCCCTTGGCAAGACCAGCTGCTGCCCTGAACCTAGGACGCCACCTAAAGAGGGGCCAGCCACTCCCAGGCTAGCCCCCTCAGCCTTTGTGCTGGCCTGGGGCATGTGCACACAGCTGAGTGGACATGGGGCTGCAGGGTCACTTCCGGACACTTTCTTACCACCAAGTCCACTTGCCCGTGTCTGAGGCATCTCCTCAGCAAGGACATTAAAATGATTTCGTCGCAGTGTCATTCCATGGAGACTTGGCTGGCTGCGGGGTCTCTGGGTAGAGCGGGTTTGCGGCTGTGGCAATAGATGGGCCTTGCTGGATGGGGCCTGTGTGAGGCCACTGCTCCTTCCCAGTGCCGGAGGGCACAGGAGGATCAGCATTCTCCCTTCTCTCCCTCCTGATGGGCTGGTCAGAGCTCAGTGTGCCCTCATGTTGCCTGACACCCACAAATGGGCGGAGCTCGGTGCTGCTTAGGTGGCTCAAACTGTGGTGGGAGGAGCCCTTGTTAGTGAGGCAGGCGGACCTGGCTGGGTGAATCTGGGGGTTCGGCGCCGGTCCTTGGCAGCCGCTGACTATCCAGTTTGCCTGCTCGGCTGGCCTCATCGTATGCGTCCTTCTCGTGTGTGGAGGGCACAAGTTGGGTGCTCATAACGGTCTCGTCTAGACCTCGGGCGGGGCTGCAGTCGGTGGGTGAGGCTTCGCTGGTGGCTGCCGTGGCAGCGGTTGCTGGGGAGGTGCTCCCAGACGCGGGGGCAGGAAGTGAGGTGGGGAGCTCTTCTGAGAACTGCACAGACACCTTCCTGGCCTGCGCCAGACAGGGCTGAAGAGGAGCCCTTGGCTCTTGGCCTCGGTAAGTGCCTCTTCGGTCTCTGCCTGGGCAGTGCCCCAAACCCCTTGGTGCCCTCCTGGAGGCAGTGGAGGGCTGGGGTCTCAGGCCTAATCCCTGCTGGGTCAGGCCATTGGAACCTGGCTGTGGCGGAGTTAGCCTGGGCTCTCTTGTGAGAAGCACTCTTCCTGGATCTGGGCAGACTGGCCCCGACCTCCAGGAGACCACCCCCTAACTCCTGCCTCCTGCCATACTATGCCGATTGTGGGCCCCCACCCCCAGCAGCTCTGCTAAGACCTCAGGAAGGGGACAACTCCTATGGCAGGGACAGTCAGGAGGGAGGGGAGAAGTGGGGGAGTCAGTGCCCAAAACAGGGCCCTTCTGCGTGCTGACCCTGCCCTTCCAGCTCCTCAGGGGGGTGGACTCTATAGTGAGTAGCCTGGGGGCATTACCTGGGAAAAAGGGGCCACACCCTGAACAGGGGTGGCTTCTGGTGAGGTCCGTGGCCTGTTCACAGGCCCAGCGGTTTCCCTGGGTTTTGGGTTTGGGCTGCAGTGACCACAGTGGGACCTCAGCCAGGCAGTGCTGCCCGGCCCCTCCTCACTGGCCACGCTTGGCCATTACCACAGTCACCCTCGCTGACTTGGATGGGGCCAGGCAGAGCACACCTCCACCACACTTGCCTCACCAGGAGCCCTAGCCAGGGGCAGGAAGGTGGGCTCCTCTGTGGGAGTGAGGGCTGGGGTGCCTTGGGGTTTCCTGTGTGCTGAGTCAGAGCCAGAGGGGAGGAGCCCTCCAACAGGGTGAGGTGTGAAAGTCAGACTGCCAGGTGGGTACCTGATCCCCTCAGCCAGACCCCAGTGCCCCTCCCTCTTCTGCCCCCAGGCCCTGGCTGCACAGGATGGGGCCACACGTACCCTTGGCCCCTCCTGCTCTTTGGGTCCTAGGGTTCTTCACCCTGCTCCTCTGGCTGTGGGCGCTGTGCACAGCTTGCCACAGGTACGTCCATCCCAGCCATTGCGGGGCCTGGCTCAGGGCCCTCGCTCCACTGCCCAGAGTGGGGAGGGGCTCCAGGCAGGTGCATGCCCCTGGCTCTGCAAGTGCTTCTGCACTGGGCCTTGGACCAGGAGCTAATTGCCCCTGCTCCCCAGCTCTGCCCCCCTGCCCTGATGACACTCTTGCCCCCAGGAAGCGGGAGCAGAGGCAGTGGACCAGGCCACAGGGCAGTGAGAGGGATGCACAAGTGGTGAGTGCCAGGCTGTCCTCGGGGCCTGGGCGGGGCTGGCAAGGGACCGACCAGCCTTCCTTGCCCCCAGTCACCGCTGAGACAGACCTACCTATGCTCCCTCAGCAAGTCAGACACCAGACTGCACGAGCTGCACCGGGGCCCACGCAGCTGCAGAGGTGAGCAGAGCAGGGGAGGGTGGGGCGGGGAGGCGGGGCTTGCTGTCCGGCACCCCAGCCCTCGTGGCCAGACCTGCTCCCGGCTCCTGAGTCACTTCTGCCCTGACCCTGCCCCCAGCCCCGCGGCCTGCCAGCATGGATCTCCTGCACCCACACTGGCTGGAGGTGTCCAGGGACATGACCGTCACACAGGCGGGACCCTCCGCCTTCCCACAGCAGGAGCTGCCCTGGGCCCCACCTGCTGCCACTGCCACCACGCCCTCCGTTGGCCCCGAGGCCACCTATTCCAACGTGGGGCTGGCTACAATCCCCAGGGCCAGCCTGGCAGCCAGCCCTGTGGTGTGGGCAGGGGGTTGGCTGACCAGCGGCTGTGCTGGGCCTGGGGCCAGACCTGTAGTGGCTGAGTATGCCTGCATCCAGAAGCTCAAGGGGACAGATCGGTGCCCCCAAGAACCACACCAGGGAAAGACTGAGATGATGCCAGCTGCTCAGGTAAACTGGACTAGGGTAGGACATGGCATGTGGGGCTTGGCAGATCTTTGACAGGTTGGATGGTGCTGACCCCTCCCTGGGTGGTCTTTCTCTCTCCAGGTAGACATCTTGTACTCCAGGGTCTGCAAACCTAAAAGGAGGAACCCAGAACTCACCACGGACCAGCCGGATCCCAGTGGCAGGGGAGCAGTTCTGGCCCCAGAGAGTCCCTTGGCCTATGAGGCCCTCCCACTCAGGGGCCTGGGCATGGACAGCGGCCCCCTGGAAAATGTGTATGAGAGCATCCGGGAGATGGGGTTTTCTGAGAGCCGGGAGCCTCCCAGCTCTGTTAGTATGAGCGGACATATTCAGGGCATCAAGCCCCCCCATCGCCTTCCACCTGTCTCCACCTAGGGATGGGTTGGAGACCCTTCCCTGCTCTGAACACTCAAGTACAAATGTTCCTTTCTCCGGAGTAAGGCCCACCCTCTCCGCACCGCTGACAGCATAGATCCCAGATCCTAGGACTGCCAGTCTATGAGGTCCTGGCAACAGCAGTGGCCAACCTCTCCGGGTTCTAGAGAAGGCCCGCGTCTAAATAAATCCCCATGGCAGGAAGATGAACACGTCTACCCTTCTTGAAAGCTAGGGGGGTTGGAGTCGGGGTGGAGGGTTGTCTAGAAGGATCAGAGAGACCCCCTTTTGGCCTTGGGAGCGGGCCTGGGCCCTGTCACGTGAGGCCATGCCCCAGCCGGGGCTGGTGGGGCCATGAACTCAGTGATGGGGAGGGCGGAAGGCAGCGCTTACGGTGTTGGTGTCCAGGCCGAGCCGATCGCGGCAGGCAGTGCAGCCGGCCGGCGGGGTGGCCGCCACGGGGTGGGACTTGGACCCTGAACTCCACGGGAGGGCTCCACCACCCAGCTCCTGCGTGTTACGTAAGAAGTGGAGAGGTGGGTCTTCGTGCGTGAAAGAGTAACATGCTGCTGGGAGACGGGCCAAAGAGCGCGGCCCCGTCCCAGGTTCCGGCAGCCCCGCCAGCACGCCCGGAGGGAAGCCGGCCCTCCGGGGGCAGGAACACGCGGGCGACCGAGGCTGGGCGGGGGCGAGGGGCAGTCAGCGAGCGGTGGCACCGGGGCTGGGCCGGCTCCGCCCCCTCGCTTCCCCTGGCCGCGCGGGAGCGGTCCTG